GTTGATTTTTGTCTCATTGGTAAACAATCTGAATCGGTATAAAACCACCGCCCCCCCCCCAAAAAAAAAATGAATTCCTGCTCAAAGGTTTATTCTATTTTTTCAAAGAGTATCCATTGAAGTCTGACATTGTTGAGAAATGGAGTGATGTGGAAGGGTTATGGAACTATGTTCTCAGTAGTTTGATGTGTATCCAAGACAATCCTGACTTTCCTGTGCTCATCTCACAACCTGCTCTTAACCCAAAGAAACACACAGAAAAAATCGCTGAAGTAAGTTCATCTGGTGTAAAGCCAGAAAAAAGATTTTTCTTCCTGCCAGCAAAATCCAAAAATAAAAATTTCTTATATAAACCAAATTACACTGATCTTCTTCTAGATCATGTTTGAACATTTCCACATGCCTTCTTTATTCATTGGTGACCAACTTGCGCTCTCATTGTTCTCGATGGGCTACACCTCCGGCCTTTCATTCTCCTCTGGCTTCAAGAATACCCAGGCCGGTGTGGTCTACGAGGGACATGTGTTGCCACATACTGTGAAACAGTTGGATATTGCTGGATACCAGTTGACAGAAAACTTGAAGAAACTACTCATGTCCCTGCAAGGCTTTGGATTCCGCAGTTCCTCACAATGGCAGATTGTTGATGATATTAAAAAGAAGCTTGGATTTTTTTCATTAGGTAAGTTTGCAACACAAAATCTTTGTTAGTTTTTAGTGATGTTTCAATGATTAATACTAGAGACTGGATTTGCTAAGAGCCTGAGATGTTCCAACCATCTCACGCATAACACAAATAATCTCAGTCTTCTATTTTGAAACTTGTTTTTAACGTTTAACGGGATTTATGCAGTTTAGGATCAATTTTATTTCGTTATGTTGTAGATTTTTCAGCTGATTCAACACGGTACAAAACTCAAGCTGATTTACAGACAACTTATGAACTTCCAGATGGTCAGGTTATTGAGGTTGGTTTAGAAAGGTTTGGTTGTGCTGAGTCATTGTTTAGACCATCGGAAGTTGGTCTCACTCAGTCACCTGCGCATATGTTGATTATTGAAGCAATAAACAGGTAAGAAATATATCTTATTGAATAGTTTTGCAATATACCTACCTGGTACCTGCTTACATACTTAGCCATTTACCTACCTACAGTACTTATAGAAAGTTTACCTTTAACGTAATCTGTTAATCTAACTTATATATCTTCCTTCTTTCATTTTCTAGTTGCGAGGAAGAACTTCAAGAATTATGCTACAAAGCCATGGGTGTTTCTGGAGGTACCACGCAAATGACTGGATTCATAGCCAGACTAGAACAAGAGCTTCGAGTTCACGACAGAAAATTCAAGAATCTAACCGCTCCAGAACACAGAGATATTGCGACGTGGCTTGGTGGTTCTGTGGTCGCATCTCTCCCCACATTCAGAGAAATGGTCGTTACAGTTGATGAGTATGCCGAGTCCGGAGCGCGAGTTGTACATTCAAAATGTTTTTAGGGAAACCAACATCGCATATACACTCGTAAAAATTTTACAGCTTTTCAACAACATGTGTTCGCACTGTTTGTTCCAAGTTCAACACAAGTAGTTGTTGTCATCTTGTAACAAGGTTGATGAGGCCAACAGACTCGCAACAAGTTGTTCCAACAAGTCTGTTATCGTCTGCACGTAACAAGTTGTTAACAAGTTGATGACAACAAGCTCGTAGCAACTTGTTAGGAACAGCCTTATTCTTGTTGGAACATCTTGTGACAAGTCTGTTACCGTCATCAACTTTGTATAACAAGTTGATAACAACTTGTTCCAGACTTGTCACAACAACTGGGAACAAGCAGTGCGAACACATCCTGATATCGGTTTTGACAACTGTTATCGGTGACAACATCCTGTAACAACTGTTCCACAAAGAAAAGCTATCAGTTTCATTGTCGAGAAATTTAATCGTTATGTTCATTTAAATTAAATTAATGTAAATGAAATATATGTAAAACTTTAGTAACTTAAGATATAGCTTGACAATTTCTTTTATCAACGATTTTCACATGATCAAAGTTTGACCTCGAGTTTGACAAGGAAAATTTTAAAGTAAATGAAAATAGGCAACTTGTGCCACCGTCATTGATTAAATACTATTGTTGCGATACCAAATACTGTCCCATGATAGTTTGGTTATCAAAGAAACTTCCACACTTTAAAATTACCGTTGTTAGATCTTGGTTATTGTATTACCACAGTATTTTAATTTCATATTATACCTATAAATCGACTATTAATTACATGATGTTCGTAAGTCGTAACACTGCAATATAAATTCCATCTTTTTGTTCTTATACGAAATAAATATTTGAAACATGAAAGCAAAAAATGACACGAGAAAATGTAAATAAGAAATACATAATGTAAAATGTCCGCAAAATTGTAATTACACAAATATAGAGATACTTTAACCTAGTATGTGTTACTATTAATTGCTTATATTTGCCGCATACAAAAGTCTATTGCGATTATATCATCCTTTGAATAACCCCTGCAGTTGAAACTTCTAGTAAGAGTCTAGAGAGAACGAACTATGAAGAAACTATTTATGAAAAGTATATTGTTGATGTAACTTTCGACCGTAAATTTTATACATTTACAAATGTATAAAAAATGAATAAAATTTAATCTCAAATTTCCATCTACGACTACAATCATTAAACTATATTATACTCCATCTGTATAAGAGATAGATGCTGGTTTCTGAAAAGCCGCTTAAAAGATCAAATTAATTAAAATAAATTGGAATGCGGGAGTGACAATTTTTCCGGGATAGAAATACTCATTCGAATAGACTAGAAAGATTATATATTGATTGTTTGAGATATACATCAGTGGTGGGTTAGCGAAGGGTTAGCGCTAATCCTGGGTTAAAATTTAACCTGCTGTTATAGTTTGTGTATTTCTGCACGTCTGTTTATTTCAAAACTTCAGAGAAGTAAACACCTATCGATCCAGACAAGATCTCTGAAGAAACATTTCCAAATTTATAAACAAGCTGTCAGGAAATTTGCTTTGAATTTTAGGTTAACCAAGGGTTAAGCTAACCCAGCCTTGAACAACCGGCCCCAGATACATTCTACTGCCCACGAGAGAAGTGTGATACGGCAACAAATTAGTAGATCTGCATGAAATTTGTATATTCAACTACATCCTACTACATTCCATAGTTTCAATTAGTCTTAGAACATCGTAGTAATTGTTAGAAAGTATTTTAAAAATGCAGGATGCTAAGTGTATGGTTCCCACTTTCGTAAAAGGCAATTTACATCGCACAAGGAAGTTTTCAGCTCAAACCAGAAGTTTAATGAGAACACAAAGTTCCGCCATGCTCAACGCTTCCTGAACTACTATTGTTTTCAAGTGAGGTTCACAACTGATCGAGTGGAGATCATTCGAAAAATTATCACATGATTTATGGTACTAGCAATTTCATATTAAGGAGTCGAACTTTAGTGCTGTACTTGGATTGGCAATAGGTAAGTGCCGTATTTACTATATATACCAACTGCCCAGAACTCGAAAGGCGAAATATCAATCTTGAGTCAAAAAGATTGAAAGCTTATGCATAAGTACTAAATATTGTATCTGTTCCTTATTCACATGAAGAAATGGTGGAAACGATCCTTTGCAAGGGATCTGATCATCTGAAGTATTATTTGACACATAGTCATAACCAAAGGTGGTCGTTCTAATTACAGACTACAGTAATGTTGTCTGGTATAATATAGATAGAGGATATTACACGGCGGCGCGAAGATATGACAGTTATTTTTATCTTCGAGTGGTGAAAACAATATTTTATGAACGAGCGCAGCGAGTGAGTAAAATATTGTTTTTAACATGAGAAGATAAAAGTCATATCTTCAAGCCACCGTGTAATGTTCTGTTTATTATATAGTCCCGAAAAATTGTGAAATTTCACGCTCAAGAGCAAATTGGAAAAAGTCACGTGATCGATATCTTCACTGGTGAAGATATGGAAAATATCTCATTGTGTTTTTCAGTATCTCACTCTCTATGATATAAAAAAGCCGGCAGGATATTTCCGTTCTTAGCATGTGCTATATATGGCTACAAATCGTCACGTTAGTTGGTGAACAGCTAGACTAGCCAGTAGAAATAATAAGAACAAAAAATGATATGGAACAGCCCTATCCGGCGTCACGTACAAACCGCATGAGAGCTTTTGATTAAGATGTTGAAATCATAGAAAGTAACCTCGCAGGCCAGTAGGAAATTGGCTATGTGGTTTGTCTTGTAATTAGCAGTTGGTTATAAATAGATCAATAAATTGACCTTAAAAAACCAGCAATTGTGCTAAAGAGCACCTTAAAAAACTGAAGGTATGAAAGAAATGCGAATCAGTCCGAATTCATCACTCGGACTATTGCAGTTCCAAATGAAACCGTGATTAGTATTTCTAACTAGTAAAACCAAGGACAAGTAGTGTGCCAAAACTGTAAAAAATCATTTTCCTTTCGATTTCTATAGATTCTGCCTGTCAGTCCTACACCGGTACACAATAATTCTTTTCGACTGAATCTGCAAACTTATGAAGACGCATTGAACTAACATTCAATGTGAAGACGATACAACTATCATATCTGAAATGAGATAAAAAAGAATGATTTCAAAAGCATGTCGAACATTATATCGACTTCGACCAACTTTTACCGATATTTCTTTCACTAAACCGAGTCTGGAAATAAAGCATAAACTATAGTTTTCAGCAGTGAATGAAAGTTCTATACTCTACAGTTAGTCGCAAAAACCTATAGTTAACAATCTCAATAATAATAAGAAGAAGAGAAATCGTTTACTAATCGTTTAATAAAGCTTATTAGTCTTTCTCGGCTTTTATCAAGAGTGTTTTAATTAAACAAACCGTCTGACAGTACAGTCTGTGTTTATTCGGAGGCTTCAGACAGAAAATAATGGGGTTTTCTTAATCATATGACAAATTGGATTGGTTTCAATTCTGTTTCGCAATGGTCAGTTATAAGTTTGGGCTTGCACAATAAACACTCTTCGATAACTAGGGATTTAAAGACACCACAAACTACTTTCAGACACCCATATTCTGCCAACCATTTAATCTAGAAACTTCTTTTGTGGTCAAAAAATTACAATAAAAGAAACTGCGAGAACACGCTCAAAATTCCAGAAATGTTCAGTAACCACCTTAATTAGAAAACTCGATAGGGCCTATAGCACGTCTTCATTCGCATTAGACATTGTTTGATGTTTTTAAGCATCGAAACAATATATTGAGGGCCTAGTTATTGTCTATTGTGAAATTACAGCTGTTTTGTTTTGAGTAGCGCATCGAGCACGTAGGTTTTATGACTTATTTGAACTGGTGGTCGGCTGAAGCGCTAGCGAGAAAAACGTGGGCCTTACAAAATTCCTTAACAAGAGCTATCAAATTCTTTTGTTTTCCTCAAATTCTCAAATCTATACTTCATCTATCTAATAATTTTTCTGTGTTCTTTGCTCGATGAGATTCGATAATTATTTATAACTGTGAAAATTAACAAGAGAAACTTGAAAATTGTTTAATTTACAAACAAAAATGTTGAAATACTTATCCCTTGAAAAATTCCAGTTTTCAAGGACAAATATTTGAACGTGTGGGGCCCGGCCGTGCAAGGCACGATGGGAATATAATTACGAGCAATTCATGTTGCCGCGTAATGGGTTGGATTTGTCGTTGTTTCTGAAATAATCGCTTTAGAAATGATTTTAAAAGCAGAAATTCCGCTTAAAATCAAGAGGATCTTCTAAAAGAAGTCGCGGTTGGGTTATATACGAACCTGATTGAAGAATAAAAACGTTTTAAGTCGTTCAGCGACGTGTCTCTACTTGTGAAGTGTACCCCTCTCAAACCGATGGCGACTACCGTCAACAAGAGCCCGTCTGGAGTTCAGGTTGTACAATTTTTCGCGCTTTGTTTGTTAGATATATAGGCGTAGTTTAGGATTTAACACATTCTCGTGTAGGTTTAATAAATACAGCTTAGTTTAATGTAGTTTTATGGCCAAATGTTGTCTTTAGTTCCGGGAGAATTAGAGCCGAACAGGCATGCCCTTGTGTTTCATGGGGTTCGAGTCGCAAGCACCGTAAAAATAAAGTTTAATTTTTCAATAAACTTTACACAATTGAACTCCATGAACATAAGGAAGTCGTTATTTAAGGCTGAATTTTAAAACCATTATTCTTTTGAGGCTCTCAAGTAAGCGAAATTGAACAAAATGAAAATTATTGCATCACAACTATTAATTAAAACTCGAAAGGGAAACTAGACGTTTTGCGATATCGGTAAAAATGGAAAATTTTCCGTTTGTTTTTTTGGCAAATTCAGCAGGTTAAAAGCTTAACTAAAACTTCAAATGTTTTGTAAAATGATGTTGAAAAAAATGGTTTATATTAATTTCAAAGTTATGTTGAATTTTCTTTTAAAAATCTCAAGCCATAATTTTCTGTTTTTGGACACACGCGCGGTATCGTAGTTTTTCTTTTTCAAAATGAAATATAACTTGATTTTTTAAAAATAATTATCCCAGGATTTAAGATTTAACAGGAGTTATTTTATTATTTTTATTTTACTTTATTTTTTATTTTATTTATCAACAAAGTTCTAAAAATGTAAAAAGTCTGATAGGAAACGTTGTTGCCAAAACATTGTTTCCCAGCTGTCTTTCCTGAAAATGGGCAAGCCAGGAAACATGGTTTGCTGGTCATGTTTCCCAAAGGTGGGCAAATCAGGCAACATTGCTTCCACAACAAAATCACACATAGGTTTCTGAATTTGTTTGGAACATTTTTGCTTTGTCGCCTCGTGGGAAGTAAAAAATGTATCCTCAAAGATTGTATCCTAGCCTTGTGCAAAACTGCTTAACTATATATATATATATATATGTATATATATCACTATATATATTTTCATTGTCATTGGACAATGAGCCTTGTTTGAAATGATGGTTGTCACAACTTTTGTCAACAGAATGTTGCTTCTTTATATACTATTGTCTTCAAAATCTTTCATCGTAAAAATGCTGTGTTTCTCAAGTCTCTATAGAGTAACAAATTGTTAACTCATTAAGTTTCATTGTGCCCTAATGTGCCCTTCTTTATTATTTACTCTGTGTAATGCCAGACGATTTTACTCCTCAAAGGGAGAGCGCTGATGCTCAATGGGTTAGGGGTACCAGAATGACAGTTGCCTCGTGTTTCATTCTTCAGGGTATCCAAGGGCCTTGAAAATCCTGGAAAGTCCTTGAATTGGAAAACAATTCCAGGACTGGAAAGTACTTGAAAATCAGTAGAAGTCCTTGAAAGTCCTGGAATTAATTTCCTGAATTCAAGTATCAAAATAGTATGCACAGTGAAAAGTATAAAAATTACACTATATGGCCAAAAATTTCTGTCGTTGCCGCAATGATCCACAGCATTTTGTTCTCCCTCTACGGCAATTGCTGTGATAGAATTCAAGCCCTGGTATGAGCTCACATGGCAATAATCTTTAGAGAACCAGTCAAGTACGAACAAAAATCTCAAGATATCTAATGTTGTCATACTTTATTTACAGACAAGATACACAAGACACTCACGAGCACCACATTTGGAGGACGATCCACAAATCGTCACAAGAAACTCGACAACAAGAAGCCAGGCCAGTGAACATCCAAATGATGCGATGATGTCAACAGCTAACAAAGCGCCTGGGAATGCTAGCTATTTGCGACCGCGACGTGCATTGGAACATCTGCACAGCACTTACGAAACATGTGATTATAGAGAAAATAACGATGATGTAATGTCTTACCAAAACGAAGAGGATGTGACTCTTATGGATAACCAATGTGATATGGTGATAAATGGTGAAAATGGGGGACTTGATATGGATAATATAGGTACAGAAGACAACTCTAAAGGCAGAAGTGGGAAGCAACTCAAGACAATGGTGAACAGGCTTGCACCCACCCCGGGGTTTGTAGACAAGAATTCACTACCGGTACCGTCGGATCTAATGACTCGCAACCGTGTAAGGCGTGTAGCAAGTCTGAATGCTGGTGCAAAGGTTAGTCTATTTTTTAAGCCATCCAGCCCGCTTGCTGGTCGCTCTATGACCGACATAACAACACACTCGAAAAAAGTACACGAGGAGGATGAATATGAGGATTTCATGGATGAGGATTACACGGTTAAACCTAGAGGCAGACCTCGGCTAGCGTGCATTTCCACGAATAATTCAAATTTTCTAAGAAGTCCAGAACTTCTAAACGAAGCTGCGCATGTTTTTCATGAAAATACACATGAGCTTCACTCGGAAAATTCAGTCACCGTGAAGAACCTTCACGATAGTTCGGCTTCTTTAAAACGCTTTCAAGACGCTGATGAGGAGCTGTATGAGGTGAAGAGGCCGAAATTGGATGGGGGGTTTATGAGACATAAATATGAACAGAACGGTGACTATAACACAATTATTACTGATAGACGAATTGTAAAAGGCAAGGAGGTAGTTGATGTCGGCTTACAAGTAAAAATACCCAAAAACAAGTTGGGCAAGAATCACGACTCCATCCAGTGCACTTGTAGGTCATCGACTCTCATGGACATCCCAGTAAAGAGTTATGTCAGTACCTACGCCAACGGTACTTTAGTATCAATACCTATCACTAAAACACACCGTCTGACCCCACAAGTCCCTGAAAAACCTCTACCCGAACTAGCGCAAGGCGATTTGGCTAACCGGAGTAAACGGGTTGCAGGCTTGAATTCGCGGGCTATGTTGAACGCAATACTCTCCGATGAGCGGCAACTGCCCACAGTACAAAACGTTACTAAGCCCGCGCGCAAACTGCAACAGAAGAAATCCTATTACGAGCACGGCCTGAGTAATACTGTTCCGAGTAAACTGAAAATACCAAAGATCACTTTTGCGGCGACGTCTACATCAAATTTCGGCGGACGTAAGATGGTTGGTAATCAGAAAGCTTCATTGTGGTCGAAATCTGGGCTTGTTAGCCATGATGGACCTAAGGTAACGATTATCATTACTTGTTCATTTGTATTCATCCTACAGGCTGCAATGATGTAGTATAATCACTTGGTTCATGTGGGACTTGTAGTGAAGCTTTGATGACACAATCATCCGCCTTTCACCTCCGAGATTGTGGCTTTGATTCTCGCTGCGGACTTGTGACACTTATGTGAACAAAAGTCAGTCAACGCTCTAACGAAAGTCGTGGGTACCCCCCTCACCTCAAGATTTATGCTATTTATCTATATTTTTAGAGAACAAATGGTTGGTTCTATCTTGGTTCCCCGATTATCAAACCTTATCACTATGTAAGTTCTGATGTGAATCTATTTTTCTCATCTATATACTCATGGTAAAAATCCAAATCCTTTTTCTATGAGTTTGCATCACTTCACTTCTTGCAGAATGATGCGAAAGTGATGCGAAAATATTACATTGGAATCAAGAGGAATGACGAGGTTATCTATGTTCGTGATTCAGTCTTGTTGAAGTCAGGACCTCGTAGGAAAGATCTGCCCTTTGTTGCTCGCGTCTCTGGCTTTTGGGAGGAAGATGATGGTAAGGGCCTGGGGCAAACATTGTTGCGGGCACATCTCGTAAGGGCCTGGGGCAAACATTGTTGCGGGCACATCTGAAAATCTTGCAGTCTCCTCGAATGTTTTCCTGTTTGGCCACCCTCGAAAACATTTTTACGCAAACAAAATTTCCTGTCTAGGAAGCAAATATTTTTCAACAATAGACAATTCCCATTATAGACTAATCTTAAAACTAGGCAAGGAGATGGAAATACATCACCACAGCTAGAAAATGAGTAAAATTGCAAAGTTTGGTTGCGAAATGTTGTAAAATACGGAAAAAATAGCCTTGCAAAGTTTGCAAATTTTGTATATTTTTATATATTGGCCAAAATGTGGTAGCAATTTCCGCACGTAATACAAAAGTATACAAAATTTGCAAACTTTGCAAGACTATATTTTCCGCATTTTACAACATTTCGCAACCAAACTTTGCCATTTTACTCATTTTAGAATGCTCTTTCTAGCTGTGATGATTTATTTGCATCTCCTTGCCTAGATTTAAAAGTAGTCTATAATGGGAATTGTCTATTGTAGTGAGTTAGCGAAACCCAACTGCATGTAGAGCGCAGTGACAGGGTTGCATCTGCCTTATATATTCAGGTCCACATGCGGGCGAGATGATGATGAGCGTGTTATGGTATTATCGTCCAGAACAGACAGAAATGGGGATGCAACCACATATTCATGGCGAGGTAGTTGGTTTGATTGTTTTACTTTTGAAATTAAACTAAACTAACTTTTTGTGTGTGTTGATGTACTCAGGTGAATATGATGTTTGTGGTGTTACTCTGAGTGTGCATCCACACCAGGCAAGCTGAACAGTTTGCCTGACCATGGTAGGAATCGAACCGACTTGACCTCGTAGCTCAGTTGGTAGAGCATTGGACTAGTATCCCAAAGGTCGCGCGTTCACCGTGGTCAGGCAAACTTTTCAGCTTGCCTGGTGTGGATACACACTCAGAGTAACATCACAAACATAAACGAACTTTATTTATACTGGAGCCAACCTTCATATGAAGAACAGTGAACTACAATTTAAAACTAACTTTATCTATACTGGGTAGGTCTATTAGTTCTATTCTGTTCTTCACAGAGGTCCAGTAAGGGCAATCTCTTATTGATCCAGTGTTACTACAGGAAGAAACAGGAGAAGGCCCAGAGAAAACCCGGGTTAAACTGGAAGCCCTCACGTGCGAGTGAGGCGAAATGATGAACTGCGTATTTCAGAAAGTGAGCCTCGGTTATGGAGGCGAAGCATGTATGTGTACTACTATTCACTAGCGAACTTAAGATGAGCGAAATCTAGTACGCGGACGTGACAAAAAGATAGTTAAGCTTTTCTTTTGGATTTATTACCGGTTTAAATTTGTTTTTCACCTGTATCCTTCTTTGTTGACAAAAATAATCCATATTTTGTACCCATGTTGTCACGTGCACGTACTAGATTTACCACATCTTAAGCCCTGTCTTGTTTGTGTATAGAACGAGATCTTGGCGTCACGTCACAAAGATGATAACAGTGTTGCATGTATTGTGGATAAATGTTACGTTCTTAGCTATCCAGAATATTGCAGGTGAGATGTTCACATCAATATGTGTTTAGTTTTGACCACTGAGCCCTATATATTTCTGGAGTGAAGCCAAGTGGCGGCCATTGACGTCCAAAATCT